CGAAAAATGGCGTCAAATATTGTTGATGTTTACGCATCAGAAAAAGCTAATAGCGCGGGTATTTGGCACAATTTGACAGAACAATTATTTAAACTCGGAGATAAACACTGATACACAAAGTTGACATGCGGCTATACCAGCAATGCTACACTGTGTGATGCTGGGACGGGCTGAACTCACCAGGATTCGCGGAACCACACGTGACGTCACGACACAGCACCAAGCAGCGGCAAGTTTGAATCCAGACTTTTCTGGATACCTCTGAATTTGACCCATTTTCCCGATATTAACAAGTGATTTACAGCAAATCGGAAACGATATTCGATCTATATCACGTGTTACTGGAATAAGACCCAACAAGTTAATGCATTTTGAAACAGTTCTATGATCTTTCAGCTAAAGTAAATTATGCAAGATAAGGACTTTAATAGTATTCACTCTGTTCAGTTTGTCTATCTTCAACATGGAAGCTATTGCTATGATATAACTAATTTTGCTTTCTTTCCCACCTTTATTCAGACTGCAACATGTTGCAGGACATCGTTTTTTCAATACACTAAAACTATCCTACAACACATTGAAACATATCTTTCTTCCTTGGCAGATCTGTGCTGCTGTTTCTCACACAAGGTGCATCCCCTGACCTGGTGGGCAGTAAAGGGGTGTCTGCAGTACACCTGGCTGCTGGAAAAGAGACTGAGAAGAACACACGCTGCTTGAAAATGTTGCTGCAATATGGAGCAGACCCCAATACCAGGTATGGCTAAAAACTGAATAGAAAATAAACCCTGTTAGATATGTTTGCTGCTTAAATCTCAACTAATTTCATAATTGTTTTCGAAGTTAGGCATACATTGCATTTTATCGGTTTTACAAACACAGCAAGTGTTTATAAAGCATGTATGGATTTTTGAGCAATCTTCCATGAAGTCTGCAGTGACTTTTTATTATCCCCAATATCTTCTTCGGTTTATAAACATGTTGAAATACAGACTTGGTGTTGAACATTGTTGAGCATAATGATAATGTAATGTTTTGTAAAGATTTCTTTTTTTTCTGTATTTCTTCCAGGTCACCAGATGGCTTGACTCCTCTTCACATTGCTGCACTGTGGGGATGTTCTCAAAATCTGAAGCTGCTTTTGTTCAATGGAGGGAACCCAAATATTAAAGATAATGTAAGATTTGTTTTTGAAATGTTATAAATTATTTTCCTTAAGTTCTGCCACACTTGAGCTGTAAAACGATATCTACCTTTGTGTTTTTAATTGTAACTTTTTTTTCTCTTTGACATATATAATAAGGAAGGGAATACACCAGGGCAGCTTGCAGAGCAGGAGGAGAATGACAAATGTGCCCAGCTCCTTCAGGAGTACCAGTCCAGCTCCGTCGACACAGAGGACGACGACTTGCCTCAATTCCAATACTGTAAGAAAGTCTATTTTGCCATTGTTTTGTTGGTAGTTATAAATGATTTCGCCCCCAAGATTTGGCTGAGAAGTAGTCGTTTTAATTTTTTTAGGACTCTAGTTAATATGTCGCTTTCTTCCTCCTCAGCTGTGTATTCAGACCAAACAGACGAGTCCAGCTATCCTGAATCAGACTACAGCTTCAGTTCCCATTCTTCTATGATAAGTGAGTTTGGTGAAGCCCCATTGAGCAGCACAAGGCGCTCATCATTTTTCAACCTGTCTAACTTTAATGGAAGGCCAAATTGCATTGGAATATCACATAATAGACTTTCTGATGTGGACAATAAGAGTCTTCCCAGTCATGACAGGAACTCTGCCTCCTCACATTGGGCTTCTGAAGGTCCCTCCTTATTATCAAGCACTCGCATGTCTACAGTGGGAACTGCAGCTGCAATGCCGACTCTTAGGGAGGATGATTTATTGACTGAATATGATGTGTTCAAATCAGAAGCAGGTGAACATGCCCCTAAAACAGATGGCAGAATCTCGCCCTCCAGAAGAGACACTCTCCCAGCATTTCCCTCCAGGCGAGCGAGCCGAAAGAGTGTGAGCTTCAGAGATGTAGATGAATATTTCCCTGTTTTTAGTCCTGAATCTCCCAAACAGCATCCTTGCGTTGATGGCAACCAGTGCACCAGCAATGTACCATTTGACATGTCTGATTACTCTGACTTTCTGGATGCAGAACGCACGGCCACTGTTCTACACACGCAGGGCATCGACGTCACGTCACCGGATCACGTTTATGTTTTTAGCAGGGAGAGCAGTGAGAGCCCAGAGGAGGAAATGGAGAAAACAGTAATCTGTCACTGTGCTGTGGAAGAGAGTGATGATGAACAGAAGGGTGAATGTGCTGAAGAGATACAGGTGAATATACCAGTACAACCAGCCCATTCAGATGTTGGCAGCAGTAGCAGTGGGACTGGTAGTAGTAATTATAGTAGCTGTGATAGCGACCATTACACCAGTGCTCTCGATGCTTCTTTACACCCCACACGCCTTCGACTCCACGATAAAGAGGGGGTTTCTCCCTGGGGTGAATCTGCCAGAAACATTTCTACAGACATTGATTCTAAAAGTACAAGGCCCGGTTGTCATCTTGCACTTGTTCAAACAGAACCTCCGATGGATTCAAAATCTGAAACTAAAGAGCATGTACCGGGACTACTTGACAAACCGGCCCTGTCTGAATTCACATACCCAAACAGTGATGTGTTTGAGGCTAGTAGTGGTCCTGTTGTGGCCACTTCATGTGAAAGTGTTGACCAGCCTGTGAAGGAAACCCAATTGGATGATGCGGCTCAGGCATCACTGGAACACGTCAACCTCCCGCTAACACCGAGCCCTTTTGTAACAGGCAGGACTCGCTCGAGGTTGAGTCGCTGCTCAATGAGAACAAGCCAGACCCCCGACAGCCTCCTCTTCTCATCTTCTCTATTTGGAGAGACCCTCCCCACACCAGTACGAACGCGCCGCCAAACGCCCAGATCTCATAGCAGTGAGGACTTCTACAGATCACCACACGCTCATCTCAATACACCATCTTATTCAGGGAAATGCACAGGAGGAGACCCTTGGCCTTCTGATTGCCGGGAACCACAATCTAGCACCCTCAGAGAAGATTCTAGCAGTAGCCAAGCTGACACTTTCATCCTCCCCAGGAGCGTCGCTGATTCAGCTTCTGAATCGCAGACACTGTCCGACACGGTCATGCTGGAGGAAAACCGGGACTCTTCGATGGATGCTTACGAAAGAAACCTTGCAGAGGTTGTACTGGCCATGCGGGCACATGGTCTCGCTGAAGACAGGGACTTTCTGACTGATGATCTGACAAGTACGGATGAAGCAACCACAAAGAGAAATGTAAATAATGCTGCTGGTGAGGACAGAGTAGACAGCGTAAAAGACGAAGATGTGTCAGTCACTGAGGACTACAGCTCTCAGTCGGAGTCCGTTTCATCTTCATCCAGCTCCACCTACTTTTCCCCAAAGAGGTCCAGGGAAGATTCTGATCTTCCTCGCACTCCAGGCACCGGATGCACCCCGAGGTACAGCATGAGCCGGCTGTCGAGCTGCCGCGGGCCACAGCACCTGGCTAACCTGTCTTACACTCCTGGAGGTCGCCCGCTCATTCAGGATCTGGAGGAACCGGTGGAGTACCTTTACACCGATTCAGAGCAGGGCCACGAGCTGATCGAGACCCACGTCCCGCCGACAGCAAACACCTCACTCAGCTCCAGCATGAGTACAAGTAGCAGCGAGGAGACCATCCTCTATGACTGGCGCAGAGAGAAGGAGAACCAGAAGCCGCAGATGGAGCTGCAGGAAAAACACAACGACAGGGTGTTGCCGGACACCAAAGGGTTGACTGATAAGGAGCTGAGGTTGAGGCTGGTGGAGATGGGAGAGAGCCCGGGGCCTATCAGCTGCCACACCAGGCCGACATACATGCGCAGGCTGCGCCACCTGATGCAGGACTCAACCTCCCAATCACCACATCCGCAGAAGCAGTTAGACCAACCACAAACAGGTAATGTTTGTGCTCTTTATTCAAAGTACTTGATTACTACTTACCTAACTAAAGCTATCACTACATAATAATAGTTTTCCAGATTTGTGGTTGTGATTGTGAGCAGTTTTTTGGTGGGATATGGAAAGTGTTGAAGAAGATGGAATGTAAAACATTTATTATAATATAATATTCAGTGTTTTCTTATCAAAATAGATAATTGTCCTCTGAAGTAGGGAAATAAGTGTGGCATTCAGACCGTATAACCACTCCTAATGAAGCATTACAATGAAATTAGTTATTTGAAATGAATATCTCCACCACTGTTCGGGAAGCAGGCATCACTTTGTGGGTGGATTGAGAAGCACCAATGAGGCATATTATTAAATGTATTATTATTGAGCTTATTAACACTGTAACTGGCACCATGGCTCAATTTATGGTTTTCTCTCCTTTTAACACTTTAGATGTAGGTTATAGCCCCGAAATGCGCTGGGCCCTGCGGACCTTCGAGCTGCCTGATTGCCAGGCTGACGAGCAGGCTCTGTGCCAGCAGTTTGATCAGCCGGATCAGAGCAGAAAGTGGAGGGAGGGCATCATCAAGTCCAGCTTCAACTACCTTCTGCTCGACCCCAGGTCTGCTCTCTCTTGATTTGGGTTTTTCTTTGCTTCCATCTGGGAAATGTCGCTAGGCTCTCTCAGGAAAGATGATCTAAAATGTGCCTAATGTGTCTAGATCATTCCATTATTTATTTTGCATTTCAACAACGCATTGCTTGTAATTAGAACATAATCCTATGTTGTGTATGAACAGCAGCCATTTATCATTCAGGGAACATCTTAAGAAGTTCATACACTGATATGATGTCAACAACCCTAGTTACTTTTTCTGAGATTACATTTTGTTTTTGAAATAATTTCTTGGCAAAACATTTTCAATGTCCATAACGGTGTCTTAATAAGGAGAGTATGGTCAACTCATACTTATATCTGTGTTTTTATTTATTAGGCTTCGTTATCATATCACTTCCCAGGAAACAAACAAGTTATTTTGTCCCCGGATAAGAACTTATGTACACATAGACAAACAAGATGTAAAAATGAACAGTATTAATTGTATCTTTCTCAAATGGCAAGGTTTAATTCCTTGTATAGTTATGTTTGGAATCAACTTTTTTTCTCTTAACTACCGTAATTTTCGGACTATAAGGCGCACCTGAATATAAGCCGCAGCAGCTAAATTGAATGATGTGTACATATATAAGCCGCACTGGACTATAAGCCGCAGGTGTTTTAATGTTTAATTACCATATGTAAGGGTTCGTGCACAGAGGGGATTGTCGGGAAAGAGATGGCTGTTTGAGGAAGCTCCCATTTATTAACATTTCAACGAACAAGTTGCATATTTGCATAACGTATTCAAGTGTTACCATTTAGTGCAATAGTAGCTACAGAACATGTACTGTGCTGTGTAAACTGTACTGTATCACACAAACTTTTCAACTTTCAAACTTAAACGGTGCGCTCCCAGCGCACGTACCGGCAGTGATCTACAGCAGCGGTTTTCAACCAGTGGTACGGGGACAAACTGTCTCGCTCTCGTAATGTCTGTCTGTCTTGCTCTCGTTCTGTCTCTCGTACCACTCTCGGTTCCACTTTTACTTTTGCGCGCTACCTGTCTCACTCTTTTCCGGCCTCCAGCTTTTCCTGCTGGAGCCCGCCGCTTAAAGGTGGGGGGCGCGGACCGGCCATAGAGCCCATAGAGTTAAAGGTGGTGGACTGTAACCTGTAAAATCCATAGATTTAGGAGGTCCCCTAGTGGCCGTTAGCTGTAAAAATCCATAGATTAGCCGCACCGTTATATAAGCCGCAGCGTCGAAAAATGGGAAAAAAGGCGCGACTTATAGTCCGAAAATTACGGTACTACATCTCTGTACGACAGATGAACACCTCTCCCCCTGAAATATAACTCAATCGGTCTTGCTTCTTCTTCTGTGCCAGAGTGACGAAGAACCTCCCATTCCGCAGTCACACCATGACTCCACAGGAGTGTTTCCAGACATTCGTCCATGCTATATTTTATGTGGGCAAAGGAAAGCGCTCCCGCCCCTACAGCCACCTGTACGAGGCTTTAGAGTACTTCAAAGGAGACAAAACATCCAAGGTAAGGCAGCCCACACTAACTTTAACTTCATTCAAATAGATCAGATATAAACTGTCTTTCTTTTCTGTGGGACAGAAACTTTGCACCAAAGTGCAGCACATCCTTCAGGTGTGGAAGGCAGAGCAGGGCGTCGTCTCTCTGCATTGTTTCCAGAACGTTATTCCAGTGGAGGCGTTCACGAGAGAGGCCTGCATGGTGGAGGCTATCGGTGAGTACAAGGAAGGCTGAGACTCATCAGCAATTATCTCTGTTCAGTGACAGTGACCCACATCTGCTTTTTATTAGGGTGTGAAATCATTTATTGTTCAAGCATAATTCAATAGTTATACATCGAAAAACTAAAGGCTGCTGCTCCAGGATTAATGCTAATTTCACATAAACTTATAACTGTTGTGTTATTGTTTAAATCTGTGTGACTTCTTACCAATCTTCAGTGTCATTGATGTGTTTTTTCGTTAATATTTTTCCCCATAACCAGGAAGAATCTTAAATGAAGGATGATCAAATTGTTGAGAAATAAAGCAAGATGTTATCTTGTAACATTTATAGACTGTGTTCCCTACACTTCATTTCAATGGTTATATGAAGCACGTTTTGCACTGTTTTGGCTGTCTTCTTAATTTGTCACTATTTTCTATTTTTAAAACATTCAAAATGGCCTTTACATTTTATGTAATTAAGTTAATAATTCATCATATTTGATACGCTGCAGGTTTGCATTTCTTAACTGGACTGAATGAGCGGTGTCTCTTAATCCTTCTAGAGAGGACATCCATAAATAAACACAGATGAAACAACAAACTCAGAGAACATTGATCTTTCAATAGTCCTCGCTGTCAATAACCTGCTGAATTCTCCAATTGTCACAGGGTTGAAGATGCTCACCAATCAGAAACGAGGGGATTTTTATGGCGTGGTGTCCAACTGGCAGGTGAAGAAGAAACGTGAGCTAGGCGTTCACCTGCTTTACCGGGCCATGCAGATCTTCCTGGCCGAGGGTGAGAGGCAGCTCAGACCGGCAGACATCAGGCAGAAGTGACCCCCACTGGAGGGGATGTGAACAGCAGCTGAACGCTAACAGACAAAAGGGGGTAATGCCACTAGTTCAACACCCTTGAGCTGTTTAATCATTTAATTATCTTTCTGCTTTAAACACACTCCATCCATCAGCAATATTGTTTGTCAAACATGGGACATGCTTTTCTAATATTAACATCATTTACATTTCATCTTTTTGCATTTTAAAGTGTTTCATGAAAGATTCAACTTAAAAAATATGTCCCAAATGATACCCAATTCAATGTTTGATAAATTCCCTAACTTCACTTTTAATCTGCCCACCTTTGATACAAATGAATTAAAAATAATATTTCATTAAAAAACGTAAGGGTTCCATAATATTTATGGATGAATGAACATAATGCCTTCAAAATATTTACAAAAGAACCCTGGTTTGCTTTAAAAACTGTATCCTGGTACATTTTAGCAGAAGCATGATTTCATGGATTATTAAAAAATGGAAGTGTTCCATTTTTAAAAACACAATGTCCTAAAATGTGATATAATGTGTTTACATGGTTGGGTCCCATTGTATTTTGTTGTGCTGTCTTTTTTTATAAATTGTTAAAAAATGCATTGCTGGCATTCTGATATGATTTGTGTCCAATTGAAAGAGTAATTGTAAGTGTGTAGATTACAATGTATAGATCATTACACTGTTTATTGATTATTCGTGAACTTTCAGATTTTACAGCTGTGTCTCTGTGTAACATAATTTTGTTAATTAATCAAAAAAATGTTTCTTGAAAATGTGTTAGACAATTTCCTCTCATGGTCTACATCTGTATGTCCAGGCAGCTTTAAAACCATTATCCCCTCAGGTTAATACATGAGTAAATATCTGGAAGCTGAATGTATATATTTGTTATTGTTTTTTTACACAAAAATCACTACTAACTATTAATAACAATTTTGTATTTTAGAACTCTAATTTTCAAGCCCAAATACCCAGGTTGAAGAACTCATCAGATCACCAAGGGAGTGAAACCCCTGACATGTGGCATTTACTTTTAATTATGAAATTAATGTAGTGAAACTAATAACTATGATAATTAAGCTATAAAACCATGAATAGCACAATGATTAGGACGGTATCCAGTTTTCTTCTTTGTAAAAAAATAAAGCACCTTCATTGTTTGATATGTTTTCTTCCTTTGCTTCATGCCTTCTACTGTCACTAATGCATTTTGTAGCCCTAATGTGTGTGTGTATATAGTCAAAAGAAAAACATAATTTAAACCTGAACCGGATGAGTTGTTTTGTGCTTTTCTCATGTCCTTTTCTTAGGTGTCCCTCCAGTGGACAGATTACATATTATTATTTTTCTTTAGTCCAGTCTCTTTCTAATTAAGTAAGATTCATTAAAACTTGTTTGGTTTTCATCATGCAAACAGTTATTTCATGATGACGTACATTTTAAATTTAAGTGAATGTAGTCTAAATTCTAGAATGAGATATTCAAACATATAAATGTTCACAATCATCTGTATTTATGTAAATGACTGATAAACAAACTTTTTGTATTTAGCAAACAAGAGCTTCACTTGCCTCGATCCTACTATAAACACAAATTAGCCGTCATTGTGCCAGACAGCCTTTTCGTTGTAAGAATGAGTCAACCTTTTTTAAATGACGCATGTCCTCATCTAGGAACAATGTTCTTCAATTACTGTTATCATGACTATATTACTAGCATCACTGGTTCACACAGTAAATGCCCTGGTCAAATGTCAGCCCTGTGGCCTGATGAGACAATGAGTGTCTTGACTCTAAACTATTGGCATTCAAATAGTTGCTGTATCATGCACATATTTCATAATTAGGACTTGAGATAATGGTCTTAAAATTGCAGAATAAATATGTTCTGTAATAGGCAGCAATCAAACAGCAGTATACATATTTAACACATCAGTGTTACAGCACACCCCCAGAACTTTGTTGAAGGTTATTTTTGAAAGCTTAGAATTACTGATGGTGACCCATGGTGCATAAATGAAAAATACCACATCAATGGGTATTTTCCATGTGGCACCAATACTGTTCCTTATCTCTGCTTGTCATGCAGTGATGATTATATAGTCTCAAATTGTATTTTGCAAAATGTGTTCTCACCTAGGTAAGCTGGATAAGACGCCGTCTTTAACCATTTCATATTTATTTTATTTACATTACAATGGCTTAATATAAATGAAGCGCCATTAAACCTGCAAAGGATTAAATAATTATCAATCTTAACATTACATAGCATACTAGTTTACATTAAGGTCTAAAGAATTGAGGCAATGAAGAGGCAAGTGTCATTTGTTTGCATTTGTGTCTATGATTGCATTGCAGTCATGAACGTTTTGTGGGGTTAGTTGACATTGCAACTTATTTTTTATTACTTATTACTCATTGTTTATTAATATTTGGTAACTACTGGTATAATATTATGTGGGTTGTTTGTAACATTATACAACCAAAATATGTTTCTATAAAATAACTAGACAATCTTTATAGAGAAAAATGTACAAGACCACATACACAGTATTTCAATAATTTACTGTATATTCATATATTGCATTTATACTATGCATGTCAAGAATACGTGTTGATTGATAACAAAACCTCGCCAGTAGTCAGTAATACAGATCATTATATATACACTTTTTTTAATATGCATTAGATCAGTGTTGTGTTCATCTAAAACCAAACCAAAGAAAAAAAGGAACAAAGAAAGACTCACTTCATCATTTAGAGCAGAACTGGTAACTTTATTTGATAAAATACAACACGTGTACAGTAATAGCATGCAGTATTCTAAAAAAAACACAGTTGAGTTTTACCACTTAAGAGTTCTTAAAGATTTGCTTGGTAGGAAAACATAAATGAAATGCAATTGTCATCGGCATTTTATATACAGCTGAGAGTAATATGACGTGTCTACCATTTGAATGTCATTTCAGTATCTGTTTAACCAAACTGACTTTATTGTTTAAAAAACAATGACATATCTTATCTCAAGATGTTTGGTTAATAAAAGTATGACTTTTAATGGCTAAATCTGGATAATTATCCAAAAAGGTCAGTTGTCAAATGGAAATTCATCTATTCAAATTCTACATATTATTTCTGTTATTTTTCCATGTAATATTTAAAACAGCTAAATAATGTATCATACCCTAGATGCAATACAAGCCATGTTCTCTAAAGGTCATATCCTCCAACTACCTCGTGCATCTTTTCTCTTGGACCCCTAAGCCTTTAGCAAGCGAGATGGAGATACAATCTGAACTGCCTGTCAATCCACCGTGCCTGTGTGGGCCTGTTGTCAGTGGGAGGCGAAGGGGGGGAGACAGGCAGAGAGAAAACAAATGCCATCATCACCATATCGTGACGCGATTCCTTTTGACGTTCAGATGAGATCTGGGACACAGTTGCATTCATCGTTCAGCGAGCTTTTCTACATAGTTAAACCCACCGACAGCAATGAATGTTAATTGTGACCTTTGCTGTGGTTTGGAAGATGAGTGTTGACGATGGATGCCGTTCTCTTCATTGGATCTTTCGTTTCTGCTTGTGTCTTACCTTTTTGCCTTCTTTTTTGGGACACTGAGTGACAAAAGGCAGGCCACAGGGTACAATCAACGGTCGATGGTTTTCAATTTCGTTGAAACTCACCGACAGCGTTGAATGTTCACTGGGGCGAGCATAGACCTGATGGTGACCAGGGATGACAGTCTGCTTAGAGATGCAGAGGAAGCAGGACTTCTGTGTGGGCGGAGAGCCATCTTGCTTCGCCCCCCCCCCCTCACTAAATCACTTTTTTATTCTCTGAGCCGGAAAGGACACTAAAAAAGTTGTACTTTGATGATGCTATCTATTCCATTCGGCAAAGAAATACAGACATCGAAACAATATTTTTCTTGAGCTTAACATTAGTAGTTTGCCTTGTTGCCTGCTGATAAACATATTGATATGCATGCTTAAAAAACAAAGAAATTCAGCTTTTTGTACTCTTTGCACCTGATGTTGGCCATTCACATAAGAGAAATGATTCATATACAAACAGAAACATGCTTGTGTGTGCGTGTGTGTGTGTGTGTGTGTGTGTGTGTGTGTGTGTGTGTGTGTGTGTGTGTAAAAAATGCAATTTATGAGAATTATTAAAATAACTGTGGTCCCCTGTGCAAAAAAAGCAGTACCTACTTTGGATAGGATCGAGTGCTGCATGTACTATTAATATCCATAACACATGGTCATTATGTCACAGAAGACAGTGTCAGTGTGAAGGAACACATTTCCCTTTACCGCAAGTAGCAGTTAGAAGAGGGAAGTCATCTCGAAACTCCTGACTCATAGTGGGTTTTTACACGCAGCACCTGGGTGGAGGGTGCAGCCAAAGGCTTTGTTAAAGCACAGCAGCGTGGCCCCTTATAGACACCAACAAGTCTTTCTGCAAGGTGGAGGATGAGGAAGACTTTGAGTATGAAACTGTTGACTCACCCAAATCAACAGCATATGGTGTTTCGCTATGATGTGGCACTGTGGCTGAAGTCTAGGGTGTTTTTCTTTTTCTCTTCCTGTACTAATACCAGTAAGGAAACTGTCCGCTATCTAGTATGAAGGTTTATTACACATTGCTGGATCATTGTTCATCACCATGAGCATGAGAAACCCGCAGACTTTGTAAGAAGCAGACCAATCAAATGCCACAGAGCTGCTGTTGCAATTAGATACGACTTGACAATAAAACTGTGGCAGTGAGTCAAGATGTGGTGGATGATAAATAAGCTACTGGAACTCTTTTACAGCAGGATAAAGAGTGACCAAGATGAAGTGGTGAATATCTCTGGTCCTGCTAAACACTATTTTCACACAGGAAAACAGAAAGTTAAAAATAACACTGTGACTCTGAAAGCCTTTACTATTTAGAAAAACACAATGAGTATAAACATGTGAAGATTTTCTTGAAACTTGAATTTCAACTTCACAACTGAAAGCAACGATTGTGTTGTTTCCGTTTTATTCTTAGGATCAAAAGAGCTGCTTTTACTTTGTCAGTTTCTGTTTTACTCAGCCCTCTGAAAAACTTGTCATTTGTGAGCAAAAATAATAGTGACTTCAATCAAAAACCAGTTCCTAGCTGTGACACGTCACCCAAGCTCGGGCCAAAAAGCACAGTCCTTGCTGCGAGGGACACTGCTAACTCGGCCTCTCTCCACTGTCCCGAACAGTGATTTGAGTGACAGTGTTGGAATTGACAGAAGTGGATGAGAAGTAATGTTGATTTATAAAGGTCTTCTCTGGCCGCAGGACGAGGGTGACAGCATACAAAAAGAAAATATCCTGGACACGCAACCAGCGAGAGAGAAGGGCCCTGAGCTGATAATGTGGCCCTAATCTGAATGACAAGGTCTGCACATTAGCCCTCAAACCAGCCTGTGCTGGGTGTGTGTGCGGGGGGGTGGTAGATGATGAGGCAGCTAAGGGGGGAGAGGAAGACGAAGATAGAGAGTGAGAAGAATGAGAAGAGACAGGGGTGGGGGAGGAGGGAGAGGGCAGGCAAGGGTGTCCTTCCTTCAAACATGCTGGCCTTAATGGCACAGACAGCTCTGACATTTAACCACTGAATCATTTTTAGATAAGTGGATGTGGTAGTTTGTGTGGGGAGAGCTGTGACTTGTAAAGATTTCAGGAGGCGCTTTTATGGCTAAATATAAAGAGCTAAGGAATAATGGTGTTCAAAGAACATGGACAACCGGCCTAATGGCTAAAAGAACTTCAATTCACGGGTTGATATAACAGAGGAGAAGCAACTTGGAGACATAAAGAGGAATTCAATTGCTGTACCAGTTGGAAAAATATGTGCAGGACCCGTAACTGATAGTACTCAATTATTTAGTCTTGAGCACTAACATAACTGACAGTTGGTATGGTGAAGCTTTGCAGTAGGAAGCCAAAACGGCAATGGGCATCACTCAAGGTGGAATTAGTGTAAATGTGACACAGATAAAAATCGTTATATGCTGAGCAAATTGTGGATAAAAGAAAGCTGTGAAAAAAAGAGGAATGTCAAACCTGCTCCAAGGTGCGCTAACAAAAGAAGACTAGCAGAACAAGTTTGTGTAACGGATACTGTCAAAGTGTCCCAATTA